GACCCCTCCTTACAAGTAGAATCCCTCAAATACAGAATGAAGCAAATAGTAAAGATGAAAGATGACATTAATGTTAAAGTGCAGATAGAATAAAAATAGGTAAAGAAAAATGTGGTTAGTCTAATTGAATAGGCCAACAAAATTGATAGACCTCTCATAAGGTTGAGCCTGGTTGTGTCGTGGTTACCTGCTTCTGATCTCGAGATCAGAAGTTCAAATTCACAAGCCACTCCAAAGGAGAAAGATGAGGCTTTCTACTCCAGTAAAGAGTTACATTTTCAGAACCCCTTAGAAGCAGTTCTGTCCTTCCCTATAGGGCCACTGTAGACAAGAATTGACTCGATGACCTTGAGTTTGGTGTTTGTTTTTTGAAGACCAATCAAGAAATATAATACATAACTCATCATTATAAGGAATGGAAATCCCATCAACTTTCACAGTTTCTCCAGACATCCAGAATTTAGTAAGTGGATAAATCTTGTTGTTTGAGTAAACTGAGAAATCAATATAAGTGAAATATTATTTATCAAAACTGAATCAAGAAGAAGTGAACTGACAAGCACAAAAACAGAAAAACATAGATCATCATTATTATTAATACAATAGGAGAATTGCTAATTGTTCCATAAGATATTCTGTCTCATACTCTCATAATATGATACCTACTCTTTGGAAATAAATTTGGCAACCTGTATAAATATCCTTAACATTGTTTATTAATTTTGATCAACTAACTTCATTTTTAGTTATCTATCCCAAGAACTCATTGATGATAAGAGATATTCAATACTGTAAAAGTCATAACTCAAATTTATGGAAAAATACACATAAGGGGTTATCTTCTCATGTACAAATTATTATCCCTGAATAATAATTATATTATTATATGGTCAGTGACAAAGAGGCAGAACCTCAAGGTGATGGACTGATTGGTATGATGACGGCAACAATAGACTTAAACATAGGCAAGGTAGTGAGGATGGCTTGGGACCAGGCAAGGCGTCACTCTGAACTAGAACCAACTTGATAGCACATAACGACAATGACAATAGTTATATGTACAGTTATAATCTTCTAAACATCAAGTGAAGGAAAAACAAATATGTATGATTCCACATATTCTTTAGGAATACAAAGTAAAGCAAACTAGAGGCAAACAGATCAAATTCTTACAGAGGTTGAGATTATTACAGATGTTAAAATATAACTGTGGGGGATTCCATTTTCCTCT